AAAAAAAAAAAAAAAAAAGAAAGCATGTAATTGACTACTAACATCATTCGATTTCCATCAAATTCATTTAAAGAAAAGTCTATTAGACAATGAACACTGATAATACATTTCATGATTAAAAATAAATTTAATGAAAAGAATCCCCCCCAAAAAAATAAAAAATAAATTTAATGATATATTATATTTGCATAAAATAATAATAGTCTCTTGTAAAGAAAGAGCAATGCCGATATATGTAAATTATGATGCCTTATAATGATGAAATTTTTTCTAATGGGCTCAGTCTGAACATTAGTCTTAAGATTGTAGAACATAGCTTGGCACCTGTAGCACAGTGGTTACAGTGTTGGCCACATACGCCAAGGCTGGCAGTTTTAAACCCAGCCCAGGCCAGCTAAGCAACAATGATAACTGCAACAGAAAAATTGTAGCTGGGCATTGTGGCTGGTGCCTGTAGTCCCAGCTACTTGGGAGGCTAAGGCAAGAGAATTGTTTAAACCCAAGAGTTTGAGGTTGCTGTGAGTTGTGACGCCATGGTACTCTACCTAGGGTGACATAGTGAGACTTTGTATCAAAAGAACAAAAGAAAGAAAAGAAAAAAAAAAAAAGATTGAGGAACAAATGGTTAGAAATTGCTAGTTAGGGTAATAAATTCAGAATAAAGAGACCTAAAAGAAGTTACACAGCCAAGAGAGTGACCCATTCCTCACAGTTTATGGGTGTTTCCTATCCAGTGCCGCTCTAAATTGCCAAACCATTAAATAAAACAGAATATTTATAGTTGTCTGTATAAATGAAAGCATTTTTCAATCAATAAACATCAGTGTCATCAACTGATTTTAGTGGAAAAGAATAATTACATAATTAATTAATATTTTATTTCAATTTCCAACTCTAACAATTTATTTTGGCTGAGGGTTTTCTGCTTTTATTGTATTCATTGTCAGTAACTGAAACATATTTGTGTCATGATATATATAAAAACATCATCAACAATTACATTTATTGCTATTTCTAATGTTCAGATCATTATACTAAATTGCAAGGTATAAAGAAATTACTAAACTTAGAGCCTTAAAATTCACTAGATTAAACAAAACAAATATAACAGTGATAATATGAGATAACATAAATAAATGAGTAACAAGCATAAAGTGTTGTAGAATTTAAGATTAAAATTGTGGTTTTATGGATAGGTCAATTTGGCTAGATTAAAAGATTCACTAAGAAGAATAGTAAAAATAATGTTGATGACGTACAAAAGAACCAATACATGGCAATCTATATAACTCCTTTGGAGTGTAGACAATGCAACTCCTTTGCATTGGAATCTTCCAAATTTTGGAGTGATATATATAAAGTATATTTCAGAAATATTAATATAACTTCATTTCATAGAGCAATTTTGAGGGTGTAAGAGACTAATGCTGGAAAAACAAGTAGGAGATTAATGCAACAGCTCAAAAAAAGACATAAGAAAAAAGAATGAAGGAAAATGAGAGATGTGGGATATCACTAATCACATTAACACCTGCATAACTAAAGTTGAAGAGCAAAGAGGACAGAAAAATATTTTTTAAATAATGCCTTAAATTTTCCTAAATTTGATGAAAAACATTAAAGAAGGTTGGTGAGCTCCAAATAGGAAAAAAACAAAGACATCTACAAGTATACACATCGCAGTAAAAATTCTGAAAGCCAAGAAGAAAATCTTCAAAGCACCAAGAGAAAAATTACTTACTGAGGGAATCAACCTAAGATTAACAGCTAAGTTTAAGAGAAAAAAAAAGTTGTCCAGGCTCCATGCCTGTAGCACAGTGGTCATGGCACTAGGCACATATACCCAGGATGGTGAGTTCGAACCTGGCCTGGGCCAGCTAAACAACAACGACAACTACAACAAAAACATAGCTGGACATGGTGGTGGATGCCTATAGTCCCAGCTACTTGGGAGGCTGAGGCAAGAGAATCGCTTAAGTCCAAGACTTTGAGGTTGCTGTGAGCTGTGATGCAATAGCACTGTACTGAGGGTGACATAGTAGGACTAGCTCTCAAAAAAAAAAA